TCCTGCGAAGAGGGCAAAGGGTTCCGAACAGCCTTGGTTCATGGCTCTGCCCGGCCTCACTGGTCGTCCCTCAAAACTCTCCGTCACACGTTCTCTGCAATTTCTTAAGACCTCATCCACCTTCACCCACACTCACCCACCCTCACCCACCCTCACCTACCCTCACACACCTTCACCCATCCTCACCTGCCCTCACCCTCCATCACCTACCCTCACCCATTAAAACTCTCAGGCTGAGAATCCATCAGGCCCTAGGCTCAGCCTGGCCCCCTCCACATGGCAATGGAGGCTCTGTGATCAAGGAAAGTACAACTGAGACAGTAACAGGCCTCTCTGCTCTGCGGAGGAAGGAGGGAGGGTTATTCTGACCAGGGAAAAACGGAAATGCTCTCCTCCCCCAATCCCAGGATACTGGGGACACGGGTTGGGGCCCTTCCACGTTTGCAGGTGACTGCCAGCAGGCAAGAGAGCACTCCGCTCCCTGGGTCCAGCAAAGGCTACTGTCCCCTGGCATCAAGGCTTCCCTGGGTGGGTCCCCTCAGGGTGCAGGGAGAGCCAGGCGCCCTCACACAGTCTGCCTCCACCCCAAGGCCAACACAAGTTGGGTCTTTTTGCTGCTGGGCCAACTCCACAATGCTCCAGGCTACGATGGGCGATGGGCATGGAGCCAGCCCAGCAGATGGTGCCTGGGTGGTCCCGGTGGGCTCCCTGCGAGCCTCACTGAGAACCACGCAGCCCAAATATTTAGCTCACGACTTGCATGCGCCCACGAGTGGCCACCACTAGAACTTTATTTCATTCAACGTACGTGCGCTTCGAACTCCATGCCACCTCACCCTTTGCTGCTCCGCTGTGGCCTCCCAGGGCATCCCCAGAGCACACCACTGTCCTGAGGGAAGGCGTGCGCCGGTGCTTGCAGCTGCAGTGCGAGCAGACAGTGCGGATCCTGCACGCCAAGGTGGCCCAGAAATCATACGGAAATGAGAAGCGGTAGGTGCCTCGTCCGCCCCTCCCAGGTCACTTTGGCATTTGGCCCTGTGCGCACCTCCTGTTAAGCACTTTTGGAACCTGAGGAGGACTGGGGCTCGGCTATTGGCTGATCATGGGCCTTTTCCTTCAGCCACCAATAGTCCCCACTTTGGTCTTAGCAGAACCTCCCTGGGAATCTACAGTCTCCATTCATGCACTCGTTCACCCATTCATTCATACTTTCATTCAACAACTAGTAACTGAGTGCTTGTCATGTGCCAGGCTCTCTGGGCACCGCTGGGCGCTGGGCATATAGCTGAACAAGACAAATACCGTCCCTGCTCTCATGACATCTTCATTCTAGTGTCGAAGAGACAGACAATAAAGCCCCCACAGTCAATGAACAAGATCCCGACGAAAGCTGGAAGGGAATAGATAGTGCAATGTGATAGAAACAGAAGGGAGGGTACTTTTGCTAGAAAGGTTAAGCTAAAGTCTGATCTGAGACTTGAATGTGAAAATGGAGCCAGACAGGAGAGAGTCTGGGGGAATCGTGTTCCAATGAGGAGAAACAGAAAATGCACAAACCCTGAGGCAGTACCAACACGGCCTGTTTGAGGTACAAAAGAAGTACCGTGGCTGCAGTTTGAGAAGGGGGTGGGGATGTAGGAAGTAAGTTGGAGAGGTAAGCAGGGGCCAGGTTATATGAGGACTTGGAGTCTAAAGCCATTGGAGGGTTTTAAGAAGATGAGTGACATGGTTGGCTCATGGTTTTACAAATAAAGATGTGGAGGTGCCAAGAAGCCAGTGGGTCCTGGGTATGTTTTAAAGGTGGAGTGGAGAAGGCTCGGATGTTCATGGGGTTCGCAGTCTTGGAGGAGCCTGGGGAGGGAGGTGGGAAAGGTGGAGGGGGATTCTTTCAGGTTTCTGCTCCCGTTGAGATGCCTGCAAGACAGAACAGGGGAGATGATACACGAGCTCAGCGCTTACATGTCTCCGCAGGTTCTTCTGCCCCCCGCCCTGTGTGTACCTCGCGGGTCCTGGCTGGAGGGTGAAGCCAGTGCCGGGCCAAGGTGAGGACAGACCCCCGGACTGGTCGCCTTCCTCGGTAGGGGACCACGCAGTAGGGATTGGGAGCGGGGCGGTTCGCAGACCCAGTCTCGCCGCGCCCTCTGGCGGCGGAAAGTAGGCTTGCCCGGCACCTGAGTTCCCCGCAGTCCTCCTGAGCCCGCGGGCGTCCCTTTCTAGCCCACCCAGCAGGGGAACCGGGGCCCACTGTCTGCGGTTACATGGGACTGGACGGCGCATCCGGCAGCGCCGCCGAGACGCAGAAGTTAAATTTCGAGGAGCAGCCCGACTCCAGGGTGAGTGCATGGGAGCGGGTCCCAGTCCTGCTCCCAACCTCGCCTCTTCCTTGGGGAGGAGAGCTCATCTCCTCTGCAGAAGCCACGCGACAGGTAGGGAGGGGCCTGGACACCGAGGGTCTGCAAGGAGGGTGCACCGAGAGCTTGGAGTAGGCCGCTTCCGTCACGGCCGACGGGGCGGACGTCAGATAACTGGGGGAGCAAGGTTCACCCCGAGGCGGACAGCTGGGATGAGCCGGCCCCACCCCCGGAACCCCTAGGAATTCGGTTGCGCCAAGACCCTGTACATCTCCGACGCAGACAAGAGGAAGCACTTCCGGCTGGTGCTGCGGCTGGTGCTCCGAGGGGGCCGCGAGCTGGGCACCTTCCACAGCCGCCTCATCAAGGTCATCTCAAAGCCCTCACAGAAGAAGCAGTCGCTGAAAAACACCGACCGTGAGCGGGGCGGGGCTGGATCGTAGACGTGGCCGGGAGGTGCCCTCGAATACTAGCGCAGCTGAGCTCTGGGAATAAGTTAGAGGAGCAAGGGCAGAGAGGAGAGGGGACGGACGCCCGTCTTGAGTGTGCGAGTTAGGGACCGGGTAGTTGGGGGGCCAGCAGATACTGAACTAGAGACAGATGAAAAGTGACAATAAAACGACAAAGGAAATTCAGTTTAAAAATATTTACTCAGGGCTTGCTCTATGCCTGGCTCTGTGCTGGGTGCTGGATCCCTATCAAACAAGGGCAAGTGTCCGTCTGGAGGAACACACCGTCTAGCAGGGAGAGGGGCATGCATAGAGGATCAAAGAGGCAGTTTGAGACAAGTACTGTCCTGGGAGCCAAGTACTGGAGGATTTGAGACTATAAGGGGGGGAAAGCCCGGATAACAGTGACACCACTACACTCGATGGGAGCAGGGAGGGAGGGTTAGCTTTCCTGGAACACATTCCACGCATCAGCCTATTGGATGCTCACTGTGTCCCTGTGAGGTAGGTACTGTCACTGTTCCCATGTTGTAGATGAGGAAAATGAGGTTTGGAACATTCATCCATTCATTTGAGACAAACTTGGGCCTATCCTATTCCAGGTGTCTTGCCCAAGATTGGCCAGCTAGGAAGTGTTCCAGCCAGGATTTGGACTTGTGTCAATGTGACTCCGGAGCTCAGCTCTTACTCCTACACCACACTCCCTGTCTGTTAAGACCCCTGAAGGAGGTCTCAGATCCAGGCAGTGCTCTGGCTGACCCTTGGTATCAGGAAAGGGCCAGGGAGGAGGAGGTGTTATAGTGTGATGGGTGCAGGGCAGATTCTGGAGCCAGGTGGCCTGGCTTTGCATCCTGCCTCTACCCTTTGCTAGTCCAGTGACCTTCAGCAAGTTGCTCTCTTCAGGAGAGATAATATCATCTACCTCCGAGGGCTGTTGAGAGGTTCCAATGAACTAATACCTATAAAGCATTGAAAACAGTACCTGGCACACAGCAAACTTTAGCTATTATTCAATGATGGGAACTTGGGCTAAGTGTAAACTGGGCACCTATAGTATGCCTTGCGCTGTGAGGAGAGAGAGAGAGAGACGACCCAAGGCTTCCTCCCAGCTGGTCAAAATCTAATCAGAAAACAAACTGTGGCTCTTCCTATGTGAGAGGCTGGAAGAGATCAATGTCAAGCCCTGGAAACATTGGACTGCTGTTTCACACCACATGGCCTCTGCTTATGCAGCCCCCCAAGCACTTCTAGCTACTTCATGCTCCCCAGCTGAGAGTATGCCCTTCCCCAGGACGCCCTCCTTAACCCCATCCTTAGACACCAGACTGAAAATTTACATTTATGTCCCTGTTTTCCCTCTGAGACCGTGAGCTCCTCCAGAGCGAGACTAGATCTAGTTCTCCCTTTGAGGCCCAGCACCCAGCTCCGTGCCCACCACACCTAGTGAGCACTTGGTACCTGTGCATTGAGCTGAAGGATGCCCAGGCAGCAAAAGGGAGCAGGCGCAAGTGCAGAAGCAGGACGGGGACAGGTACTGGATAAGCAGCTGTGAAATGTGAATGGCCACTGTGTCTAGGCTGGTGGGCATATGAGTCAAATGGGCACAGGGGACAGACCAGATGTGTCTGGCATGTCCAAGGGACCCAGCCAGGCCAGGGCACTGACTCCACCTCCCCTCTCAGTGTGCATATCCTCGGGCTCCAAGGTCTCCCTCTTCAACCGCCTGCGCTCCCAGACGGTCTCCACGCGCTACCTCTCCGTGGAGGACGGGGCCTTCGTGGCCAGTGCGCGCCAGTGGGCTGCCTTCACCCTCCACCTGGGTAATTACACCAGCGGGCAGGGGCTGGGCACTTGCATTCATTCGCTTCTTTGATCTTCACCACAACCCTTCAAGGAAGGTAAGCTCCGCCCTTGGAACTGAGGCTTTGAAACACAAATAGACTTGCCAGCGGGGGTCTCAGTGAGGACCCAAGCCCCTGACTCCAGTGTCCAGCCCAGGCCCTCACTCAGCCCGTCCCAGGGGTCAGACACTGGCGAGGATGGCCACCAGTGACCCCCTCCCCCCCTGGGAGGAGAATCTCCAACCACACCCACAAGACCCACCTGCGAATGGGGTGGAGCCAGAGGCGAGAAGGGCAGGGCTTGGAGCAGAAGCTTGGGGCCCTCTGAAATCCTCCTCTTCCTCCCTTTCCCCCTTCTCCCCCCAGCTGATGACCAGTCCTCCCAGGGGGACTTCCCACCTCGAGAGGGCTATGTCCGCTATGGCTCCCTGGTGCAGCTGGTCTGCACGGTCACGGGCATCACCCTACCTCCAATGGTAAGGGAAGGGAGAGTCTCCAGACCCACGCAGAGGGTGACCCACGTGGGCAGGGCTGTAGGGTGAGGGCCTGAGGCAGAAAGACACCTATTCAGTTCTCACCCAGGATACTCAGGGCTTTGTGGGGCTGGATAGAGGTAAAGGGCTGGCATGGGGGTGGGGGGGATCTGCCAGTGCCCACTTGGCTATTGAAGTA